AAGAAAAAAGATATAACACCATTTAGTCGCCAACAAGAAAATATGCAGCTACAGTTGAGTTGAGTCGTGTCTCATCTCACTCCATATAAATAAATAAATAGAACAAAACAAGAAAAATAAAATAAAACAAAAGCATCATATAACATCCATATACAACCTAAAAGAATTAGCACCAATTTGACCATTTATATATAAGCAATGTTTCTACGAAGCCATAGTATTCTAGTTAATTTAAAACTACATTAATTGAAAACCAATAAATAAATAGCCAAAATTCCTTTTTTGGGTTGGATATTCATGAAGACGTATATAATCATATTAATGGTATGTAGTAATTAAAATTAAATAGAATCAATAATGGAGGTGTAAAGTTTGGTACCTTCATGATGGCGGCCACCCAAAAACGGCGGCCGTGTGCATTAGTTCCGATGATGGTTGACAGTGGCTGAGTCCGCACCTTATGCCATAGCCACCCGTGATATACCATGCATATTAATAAACCCAATGGCACAAGTATCACATCTAAATAACACTTTCTCCACTCCATCTTNTGAATGTAGACTCTGTTTGGATTCAGATTCTAAAAATTCAGGCTAATTGAGGGATTAGAAAGAAAAAAAAAAAGCATGAGCCCACCACTTCTTATATTATTTTTGTTTTGTGAAAAGTGAACACGTGGAATCCTCAACTAGAACAAAAAGGAAATGAATAACATAAAACAAAATGCGCGCACAGCAAATAGACAGAGTAGAGGTGTGTATTTTCATGTGGGAATTCCGTTCACTTGCTTGTCTGTTTCAACTTTAAACCTTATGCTCTTATATCACGATATATATTGGTTCACACAATTTTGCTAGGAGGCATTGGATGGCTCAATTTATGGAGTCATCCACACTTATCCACAAATAATGTATTGGCACGTGTCTTATAATAAATACACTTTTGACATGTGTCAATACATTAAGTGATGGATGACACAACGTAATCGTGCATCTTGAATATTTTTTTTTATCAATCCACTATAATTTTATTTTAATAAAAATAAGGATCATTAATTATTATAACAACATAACAGTCAGTAGCGTTTGAATATAAAGATTCATTTTCTCAAAAATGAAGAAAGGTAAATAAAGGCAAAGATCACACGCCATTGCTACACGATTTCACAAATCAAGCCAAAACAATGAAGTGCAGGTCTGAGCTGAACACTATTTCATTCATTAAACCCTAGAAATGACTATACAATGCTTTTATATCTGAGCTGAGAATAAAGGAAGAAAACAGACAAAGGAAATGTGCAAAAATGAAGCCACATGGACATGCATACGTCCAAAGATGTAGGATAAAGCATTTGGTTGTTTTGACTTGCGTTGACTGTTATATATGCTATTATGCCCCCCTCAATTCAAGAGAGGGTTTTGGTTGAACTGTGAGTTTCTGTCTAAGTCGAGCGAAAATTGACCAAAAAGAGGCTTGGTTAAAATGTCGGCAACTTGATCTAAAGCTGGGATATGATGAACTGAGGTGATCTGATGTTGCACTTGTTCTCTGATGAAGTGGAGATCAATCTGAGCATGTTTGGTTTTTGAATGATGTACTCGGCTGACAGAGAGTAAGACAGAGCCAAGATTATCAACCCAAACGTTGGTAGGTTGTGATTGTGGGACATTTAGCTCAAATAAAAGGGATCTTAGCCACATGATGTCATATGTGGCTGCAGCCAAGTATCGACAATCAGCTTCAGTGCTTGACCTGGCAATGGTTTTTTGTTTTTTAATTATTGCTCCAAGCAACTAAGTTATGTCCAAGGAAGATACAAAAACCAGAGGTTGATCTTCTGTCATCAACATCTGTGGCACAGTCAGAATCAACATAGGCTATGAGTTGCAGGGAAGGTGAGTGCCTAATTTGAATGCCAAGATGAAGTGAGCCACTGAGGTACCTGAGTAACCTTTTCAAAGCTTTCCAATGAGTGTTGAGAGGATTTTGCATGTATTGGCTGCATTTTTTAACTGTGAATGTGATCTCAGGCCGAGTGATAGTAGCATATTGAAGAGCCCCAGTAAGTTGTCTGTACAATGTTTCATTTTCAGAGGGCTGGCCTTGGTGTTTGGAAACACATGGTGAAGACACCATGGGTGTACTGAGGGGTTTACAATTGGACATCCCAACTTTTTTCAATATGTTTTTGACGTAAGAACTTTGAGTAAGAAACATACCTTTATCTGTATGTTCAACTTCCAAGCCTAAGAAATAATGCAGGTGTCCCAAATCCTTTAGAGCAAATAAACCTCTGAGAACTGAGATGGTGTGATCTATTTGAGAGTTATCACTACCAACAATGATCATATCATCCACATAGGCTAAAATAAAAATGTTGTAGCCTTTTTCAATTTTAGTAAACAATGAAGTATCTGATTTGGAGGCTGTAAAACCAAGAAAGGCCAGTATGCTGCCAAGTTTAAGATACCATGACCTTGAAGCCTGTCTCAAACCATATAAGGACTTTTTGAGCAAACACACAGAGTGATCATCTTGTTCATAACCAGGTGGTTGCACCATGTAAATATCTGTGTCTAAATCACCATTTAAAAATGCATTATCCACATCTATTTGCCTAATAAACTAGCATTAAGAGATGGCTATAGATAAGACTGTCCTTATAGTTGTTGGTTTGATAACAGGACTGAAAGTCTCAGTGAAATCCATACCTAGAATTTGATTAAAGCCCTTGGCTACTAGCCTATCTTTATGCTTGGATATGGTGCCATCTGCATGTTTTTTGAGCTTAAGAACCCACCTGCAACCTATGGTTTTCTTGCCAGGAGGAAGCTTAGTGAGAGTCCATGTTTTATTGAGAAGTAAGGGCTGATATTCATTGTCCATGGCCTGTTTCCATGCTGGACTACTGAGAGCTTCTTCAAGGCTATATGGTTCACAAGGTTCTTCTTGAACTTTGGTGGAGAGATAAACTTTCTTTTTGTAAATGCCAGCTCTACCTCTTGTAATCATGGGATGTATGTTATATGCAGGAGCATGATTAGTAGCATTGGGAGGAGTAATAGAAGCATGCCTACCAGTATCAATTGGCAAATCAATATAAATCTGTCCAATGGGGATTCTAGGTGATTGAGTGGAAGATGTAGGAGTGGATTGATATTGAGGTGTGGTAGTGGAGTGAGAATGGAGTCCTGTTGAATGGATTAGTGATGGTGAGTTATGAATGGATGGAGATCTATGATTGGAATTTGTTTGTGTGTTGGTATTGGGTTGTGAGAGTGAGGGTGGGTTGGAGAGGGAATAAATGACAAGAGGTGCAATACTTTGATCTGTATGAGAATGTGAGTGGGTTGAGGGATCAACATTTTGATTTTGAAAGGGAAAAGTCTTTTCATCAAAAACCACATGCCTGGAAATAATGATTTTCTTGTTGGGCAATAAGACTTTGTATCCCTTGTACTGATCATGGTATCCAATGAAAATAGTCCTTTGACTTCTGAAATCAAGTTTATGTTTGTTATAAGGTTTTAAATGTGCAGAACAGGCACAACCAAAGACTTTTAAGTGGCTGTAATCTGGTTTATGACCTGTCAAGCTTCAAAAGGGGTCAAAAAATTTAAGGTTTTGGTTGGAATTCTGTTTAATAGATACACTGCTGTGGAAAAAGCATGATCCCAAAATATCTTAGGCATTGAAGAGTGAGCTAAAAGAGAAAGACTTGAACTCAATATATGCCTATGTTTCCTTTCAGCTGCTCCATTTTGTTCAGGAGTATATGGGCAGGACATCCTATGAGTGATACCATTTTGATGAAAGAAATCAGATAAAGGCTTATACTCAGTGCCACCATCACTTTGCACCAACTTGATTTTTTTACTGAATTTGTTTTCAACAAGGGTCTTAAAGTGAATGAAGGTTGTAGATGCATCAGATTTGTTCTTGAGAAAATAGACCCAAGTGAACTTTGTTTTATGATCAATGAAGTTAATGTAATATGCATGACCTATTTCTGATTTGATGGGACTAGGTCCCCAAAGGTCAGTATAGATAAGCTCAAGCACATCATAACAATCAGTCATAGAGTGGTCAAAAGGAAGTTTGTGAGATTTTCCCATAAAGCAAGATGAACATAAGGGTCTGTTCAAAACATCATCATAGTTACTATTACAGCCTTTGAGAGCTCTTTTGACAATATCAAAGGATGGATGTCCTAATCTATTATGCCAAAGATCTAAGCTGAATTTATTCTTGATGCAGGCTGAATGTGTTTGAGGTTTTGCGTTTCTGAAATGAGGTTGAACATCAACTTGACTTCTTCTAGCTTGAACCAGGTCAAAGGTGTAAAGTCCATTAGTAAGGTTGCCTTTGAGGAGGATCTCCCATGTGGTTTGATCCTTAAGAAGACAAAAAAATGGATGGAATTCAAAGTATACCCCATTATCTCTAGCAAATTGTGAAACACTCTAGAGGTTTTTTAGTTATATGTGGTACACAAAGTAGATTGTTAAGGGTAAAGGTATGACTGTTATTGGAAACAGATTTCATGATTGAAGTGCCAATGTGAGTGATAGGCATACCTGCACCATTACCCATTTCTATCTTGTTTTCACCATGATATTCAGTTGCAAGGTTAAGGTTGGCCAAGTCTGAAGTTATGTGGTTTGTTTCTTCTGAGTCTGGCAGCCATTGAGAATCTTGAAAGCCTTGATTAGGTTTGCCACATTATCCATGTTCTGGTAGTTCTGTGACCCTCTGAAATTGTTGCTTTGAGTATGAGAGTAAGACTGGTCAAAACGGTTGTAGCACCTCTGCAGTATGGCCATCCTTTTGGCAGATTTGGCACTTCACATAACTCATCCTTCCACCTCTACCTCAGAAATTGTTTCCTCTAAAGGATCTACCACCTCTGAAGTTGCCTTTTCCTTGATTGAATCTTCCCCTTGAATTCTGATTTGACACAAAACCTCCTCTCTTTGAGGTTTGCTGAGAAGCCATGTTAGCAAACCCTCTAAAGCCATCACCACTGAGGCTGTTGGTGGTATTTCTTATATTCTGCTCTCAAATGTTAACAGCAGTGATTGAGCTTCTCTGAGAGTACGAGGTGGTATCCTTGAGTTCACTGAAACAAACACTGAGTCATATTCAGATCCAAGTCCATCAAGCATTGATGTTATGTGATCTTCTTCTGTGTAGGTATGCCCAGCAGCTCCAAGAGCATCATAACAAGATTTGATCTTGTTCAAGTATTCTCTCATGGTTTGAGTGCCCTTTTTCAGATTATGAAGCTGTGACTTTATCTGCATCACTTTTTCTCTTGATTGAGTGGTAAAATCCAACTCAAGTGAGTCCCAGATTTCAGAGGAAGTGTTGAGCCCAACAGTGTTTACCAAGATCTCTTCAGTAAGAGAGCTGAGAAGCCAAGAAACTAAGAGTTGGTCCTGTTTCTGCCAGTCAGGTAAAGAGGATTGATGGTGGCTTGGTTACCGGTTTCTTCAGTGACAAATTTTTCAGGTGGTGTTGTCGTCCCAAGGATAAAACCCTCCAGTCCATAT